CGAGTGAATAGTGAGAATGTGAACAGTGGTACGGGTCGCAATAAAAGACTTCGTCGGAGGGTAGACCGATATGTCTGCCAATAACAGCCTACCCGCAATTACTTCAGTTACTCCGTGATCATGGCGCTTGCAACAGTGCCGAAATATCGGAAACTCGCTAAAAACAAGGTACATGGTAACAATCCCGTAAATAACTTATATTACTATAATGTTAGTGACCATGAAAGTTTAAAAGCACTATAAGGCTTGTGTTATGATAGAATACATATACTGTACATATATAAGTATATTTATATAGAAATACATATTATACATCTATGACTGGAGTACAAATGCTCGTATTCATCACACAAACATCTTTCCCCACCGGGATCCGAACCCGGGACCTCTCGAGTCGGCGACACTACGAAACCCGGCGTACAAACCACTCGGCCACGGAGGTCATCAAAAAAACAACTATAATTTGCTTAAAGCAGATTTTTGCCAATAAAAGTTTTCCAAAAAATATGTCTTAATAATTAATTAATACGGCATAGAGCAGCAAAAATATATTCATTTCAAAAATAAAGTCATTATTTTAACCACATACTTTGTTTTTTTCCATTTTTTTGCCAGCTACTACAGTTTTAGAGGTATCAGCTTCGAAAATACTATATTTAATAAAAAAAAAGTTGATAACCCTATCCGGTTACCAACTTTTTTTTTCAACTGACCTGTGAACCTTTTTCACGCCAATGCGTTCTAATGCTGAATGTAATATTTTTTTATATTTATTAAGCTCGTTATTCATTTGTTTGGAAAATCCAGCCGGGCGGTACTTCAGGTGGGACAGCCATCGGCCATTGCGAATAATGTCTTTCAGTATGTTTTTATTTATTGTCTAAGCATTTGACTGCTAGATATTTAAATCTAAAGAAAAGTTTTACTGGAAAAAATCCACACGGACCAGGCAGCGGACGGGACTCGAACTCGACGGGTTTTTCAGTATTTTCAATATTGTAATTGAATACTTTGTCGGTATGCCTCATGTATATCCAAGTATGCCAAATCACAGATTTTCAGCGGACAGATGGATGTATCGAAATTCTAGAGGTTCTAAGGTTCTTTTATGGGCTTGCCCTATTGTGTATACGAACTACCCCACATATCATATATAGAAAAATTACGGGCAAAGTCACACACGCTCCCTCCACATACACACACACACACACACACACAAACACCACACTCACTAATTCATACCCATATACACTCACAACTAGCACTACCATATACCTTATCATGCAAAATCATATTATTGTCATCATCATCATCATCAGCCTATTAATGTCCCCACTGCTGGGGCACAGGCCTTCCCTATGGATGGAATAGGGAGATTGGGTCATTGCCCACCACGCGGGCCCAGTGCGGATTGGTGGGTGCTAACGACTGCAGATACAGCCGGGACCAACGGCTTAACGTGCCTTCCGAAACACGGAGGAGCTCGAGATAGTAATTTTTGGTCACCCATCCACTGACCGACCACTGCGAAAGTTGCTTAAGTTCAACGATCGCAGCCGAACGCGCTAACCACTTGCGCCATCGAGCTCCTCATATTAATGTAAAGCTAGAATTTATGGTTGTTCTCCTTTTTTTTGCTTATGTAACACTTTCTTATAGCGGGGAGAGGCTGGTGAACTGAGATACAGGCAAAAGAAGTAACAATATTTATATGATTACTATTTGCCAAACACCTTGTCCGTGTCAAGCTTATATTGGATTTTATTCCTAAACTTTACACTATTTTGTATTATTTGATATTATTCCACTTTGGGTAACAACAACAAAATATAAATTTCAAGATCTATTTACGTGATGGTTTATTTAACCACTCCCTTTATAAGTTTTCTTAATCAAATCATAATTAAATAATTAAATCTTAATTTACAAAGCTATTACTATTATCCCTAAATTACGCTACCTGAATCATAAGAAGCAGAAGATTTGTGTTGTAAAGCTTAGTTTGGTCACCAGTCTCTTACAATCTTATTCCTTAGTTTTATTATCTGTTACTTATGAAGCATGTATAAGATTGCGGAGAGAAAATTATGTTTTTATTATTATTATTATTTATCACTTTTTAACTTCGGGACCGTAAAATAAAACCTCCATTGTTTTTTGAAAAAAATAGATAGAATTCTGTAATACACTTACAGCTATGATAACTAACAGCTAAGGAAGTTAGCTATACATCTTGATATATACAATACAATACAATACAATACAATACAATACAATACAATACAATACAATACAATACAATACAATACAATACAATACAATACAATACAATACAATACAATACAATACAATACAATACAATACAATACAATACAATACAATACAATACAATACAATACAATACAATACAATACAATACAATACAATACAAAACACTTTATTTAACATCACAGAAAACATTGCAATAAATACAGAGTCATTTAAATTAAGTGTTACAATGGGCGGCCTTATCGCTTATCATTAAAAATAACTGTTTTTATAAAAAGTTAAAACTTCATGGAAATATTTTAAGAAAATAAGGGGAGGACTCCTTATACGATGTACTTTAACGCCCTTCAAGTTTTATCTGTATTTTTGTAACACCCTGTATATACATACACAAACAAATACATATATATTTTATATATATATATATATATGTAAAGCAATATGAACGTACGGTCCTGTTTTATCCCTATTCCTTAAGGAGAGAGTATAGTATGAATTGCGTCGTTCCGTGATCCCGCATTATTTCCTATTCAAGCCCCTTTTGTAATCATGGTGCCATCTGTGCTATCTTATCATGATCTTATCTGATGACAGTACTTCTCTAAGGGAAATATTTAAGCCACTCTAATTCTTTGACATTGTTTCACGATATTTAATACGAAGATTTTCTTATAAAATAAAAAATAAGATATAAACATTTCCAACACTCACACCAATTAGCCTAGCTCCAGATTAAGCACAGTAAGGCTTGTGTTATGGGATGCTAGGGTAACGGATAGAATACATATACTGTACATATATAAGTATATTTATATAGAAATACATATTTAACATCCATGACTGGAGTACAAATGCTCTTATTCATCACACAAACATCTGCCCCCACCGGGATTCGGTTCCGGGACCTCTCGAGTCAGCGACACCATGAAACACGGCGTACAAACACTCGGCCACGGAGGTCGTCAAATATAATTTTATAGGGAGACTAGCGTCCACCCACGATTTCGTCTACGTTATCTTTATTATTTTGAGAATCCCTTAGGAATCTAACATTTTTTCGGGATAAAAATGATCCTTTTTTTTTCAATCCAGGTGTATATGTAAATATGTGTGCCAAATTTTATCCATATTCGTTCAGACGTTTCCCGATTTAATCAAGCTCCTCAGTAAAATTTACTACCCATTTTCACCTCGCAAGGGGTAGAGTTTCAAAGGACCCTGATACATGTCATTCTTTATTTCAGGTCTCAAGTATAAATATTGAGTTTAGATTTAATCAAAATTCGCGTTAAAATTCATCCATATAAAAACTTCGGCACCCTCAAATAAAAAAAGGCAAATTAAAAAATGGCAAACATTATTATTTATTTAGATAAGTATTCGTACCAAGTTTTATGTCTATTACCTAACTCAAAGAATGACATTTTTGATACAAACTTTCTTACTTTTTTTATCCTCTTAGATTTTCCAAAAAGACTGATTGATACACGTAATTCTTAATAGTAATATAAGTTATTTACGGGATTGCTACCATGTATATTGTTTTAAGGGAGTTTCCGATATTTCGGCACTGTTGCAAGCGCCATGATCACGGAGTACAACAGAAGTAATTGCGGGTGAGATAATATCGGAAACTCGCTAAAAACAAGGTACATAGTAACAATCCCGTAAATGACTTATATTATTATAATGTTAGTGACCATGAAAGGTTAAAACAATATAACGTACTTCTTTATTTCGGCCTTTTCATCCATCTTCAAAATCGTAGTTTCATATGAGGTAGGGCATAGTGGCTTTTCCGCTCGAATTGGACGCCCTTTGAGGAAGTAACAGCAACCTTACTGAAGACTACAGTAAAACAACACTACCTTTTGGTGGTATTGTGTTTCTGTCTGTAAATAAGGTCCCATGGCTCCACGAGGTAGGGGAACGGGTCAGGGTAGACAACGCTGCGAGTGATCTTTTTGGTATCGCAAGTGTTCTGGGCGGGCCATATGCTTTTTTGCCACCCGTTTTACATTAAAAAATTCAAGATTCAGAAAATTAATTCCACCCCACCTGTTGTCAAGAGTGATTGGAGTTCAGAGGGCTTAGACAAGTGGCTTTAAATTAGTTTGAACGATAGCGCCTTCTTTAAAGTTTTAAAACAGACAATAAATCGATGAAATTACTTGTCTTTAAAAGACATTGGGAACATTTTGCCCTCTTATTAAAAAGTAGCGGACACAAATGAAAACTATTTCGGTGGATAGATTCTATTATCTACTTAATATGGGAATGCTGAGATAATGGAGATTTAGTATCAGCGAAGCCTTACGGCCAAAGTCCCCCCACGATTGTGTTTTAGAGTAAGTGTCGGACATAACTCCAATGTTATGAGTAGATACTTCTAAATCAGAAACAAAAGTGAAAAAACTGCTCGGTAAATAAGTGATACTTTAAAAAGCCTTTATTAGGCCTCTAATAGGCTTTTACTATCATGTCGAAAAAGCAGGTTAAAAAGAATAATCTAAGAAAATACCAGTTCTTAAGTTTTACATTAAACTTTCAATTTATCAACAATCGCTAAATCCCTAAATGTCAAGTATTTTTATATCTTGTCTATAATATGGCAACAATATTTTCAAGATTTGTCTTTTCACCTAACAACATGACACTTTAATGAAATATTTTCTTTATTTTTATCAATTCACTTGTAAAATAATGTTCTTATTTTCATTTTTTTGCCGCAGGTTAGCAGTCCAACGCAATACTTCTGGTACAGAACAACCCTCCAGATATCAGAAGACATCAACCACCCAGAGGGTTTCAACTACAAAATCGCGTTGGCGCTCGTCATCGCCTGGATCCTCGTCTACATGTGCATGATTAAGGGAATCGCCTCTTCCGGGAAGGTTGTCTACGTCACCGCTACTTTCCCCTACATCGTCCTCGTTATCTTCTTCTTCAGAGGCATAACCCTGAAAGGAATGGGCGACGGTCTCATACACCTCTTCACGCCCAAATGGCACACAATTTTAGACCCTGTCGTGTGGCTAGAAGCGGGCACACAAATCTTCTTTTCCCTCGGCCTCGCTTTCGGGGGTTTAATTGCCTTCTCGTCCTACAATCCTGTTGACAATAACTGCTATAGAGACGCAATTATGGTATCAATGACAAATTGCCTGACATCTATGTTCGCCGGCATTGTGGTGTTCTCGATTATTGGTTTTAAAGCTACTATGGTTTACGAGAAATGTTTGGATGTGAGAAATGAGACGCTACTAGAGTTGTTTGGGCCGGCTTACAAATCGATGCAGTTTCCAGAACCAGGGGCGATGGTGGATGTCAATTTAAACGGGAATTTGACTAGGTTAATGATGCCACAGTTGCCTGAATGTGACCTGCAGAAGGAATTGGATAATGTAAGTATATTTCTATGAAAGTTTACTGTTGTGAGAACAAATCTTAGTACTTAATTAATTGTTAAAATTAATACCACGTAATGAGTTATTTTCATTCACACTAATGTAATAAGGTAGTTGGTATATGCCTATAAAATTATTTGTGTCATATAGCAACGTAGCTACCAGGCATTAACTGCGAGATGAAATTAAATTCTCAAAATTAGTACCTATATCATTTAGAAAAGCAATTGACAAATCCTGTTATTACTCCTAAGGACAAAACGCTGAATTCATTCTAAAATTATATCATTCTCCCTGATACGTTCCCATTTCACGACAAAAAGCCATTCCACACAACAAGCTTATTTCGATTAACTTCGTTTGTGCGTATCTTCGCCGAGAAGACTGCTCCAATCAAATTCAATATATTTGATACAGGCCAAGGTACACATGCTTTCATAAATCTATTTCATGTCATCTCAAATCTCCGATTAAGAATACTTATCCAAATTCACGCAGATGATTTTATTTTAGATGTTTTAATCGTCTGCGTTATTACTACTCGATTTAGCATTTGAAATTGTAGAGTCAATTCGATTACGTATTAATTTATGTTGAGTGCTAAACTTGGAAAAACGTAAGTGGCTAAAGTACTTTAATGGAACTGGGAATGTTTTAGAAGTATATACATTTAGGTATATATAGATACATAGTTTGTTGCGCTTTTGACATACAATAAATATAATACGATCATTCATCATTAGCCTAATAATGTCACCATCATCATCATCAGCCTATTAATGTCCCCACTGCTAGGGCACAGGCCTTCCCTATGGATGGAATAGGGAGATTGGGCCATGACCCACCACGCGGACCCAGTGCGGATTGGTGGGTGCTAACGACTGCAGATGCAGCCGGGACCAATGGCTTAACGTGCCTTCCGAAGCACAGAGGAGCTCGAGATAGTAAATTTTTGGTCACCCATCCAATGACCGACCACTGTGAAAGTTGCTTAACTTCAGCGATCGCAGCCGAACGCGCTAACCACTTGCGCCATCGAGCTTCTCGAATGTCACCATATTGTACTATATTCAGTACATAAGGAAGGCCTGTGCCCAAGGCTAATGATGATGGTGATTTTACTATATTTAGAGGTACTTATGTTTCCGAAATGATCTTGCATGTTCATAATCTTGCTACCATTTTGGCGAAATTTAGCAGCAGGTGCCATTCATTGTTTACCGCATGAGAAGATACATTTATAACAACATAATGTACGAATTCGAATGAACAACTGTTTTTTTTCTATACCTACCAGTTGCAGAAAATTACTCCACGACACCTAATGTTAAGTGTAATGGAAGTCTATACTCTATTCACAGAATCGAGGCAGTACCGATAAAAGCTAGGCTTTTCTGTGATTGTCCGGTGTATACTGTTTTTGTGACTTTAGCCAATGGTAGCTCCCTATCTCGTGTGACGCAGTTTTCTATCTTTGTCTTTTGTAAGCGATTGTGTGAAGGAAGGCCTGTGCCCAAGCAGGGGACATTAGGAGGCTAATGATGAATGTGATTTTACTATATTTAGTACTTATGTATCCGAAATGATCTTGCATGTTCAAAATCTTGCTACCATTTTAAGTAAAATTTAGAAATTTAGAGCAGGTGCCATTCATTGTTTACCGCGTAAGAAGATACATTTATAACAACATAATGAACGAATTGATAGAACAACTGTTTTTTTTTCTATACCTACCAGTTGCAGAAAATTATTCCACAACACCTAATGTTAAGTGTAATGGAAGTCTGTACTCTATTCACGGAATCGAGGCAGTACCGATAAAAGCTAGGCTTTTCTGTGATTGTTCGGTTTATATTGTTTTTGTTACTTTAGCCAATAGCTTCCTATCTCGTGTGACGCAGTTTTCTATCTTTGTCTTTTTAAGCGATTGTGTGAAAGAAAAGCTCTCTATTATCTCCTTTCGGTGAACAGAGCTGATGCAGCAGTAATTAAAACTTGGCAACTACAGTTATCCTCACTTTGCCAGCTTCGACCAAATCACCTATCCAGAGGTGCCAATTTCCTCTTAACTTTTCTCTTGGTTAGAATGTTACTACATACAATGTATTTTATTGGTTTCAGACGGCGTCTGGCACTGGGTTGGCATTTATAATATTCACGGAGGCAATAAACCAGTTCCCAGGCGCTCAATTCTGGTCCGTCCTCTTTTTTCTCATGCTGTTCACATTAGGCATTGATTCCCAGTTTGGGACTTTAGAAGGCGTCGTAACTTCTATCGTGGATATGAAGCTTTTCCCGAACTTGAGAAAGGAGTATTTGACCGGTGGCCTGTGCTTGAGCTGCTGTCTCCTGTCCATGGGATTCGCCCATGGTGCCGGCAGCTACATATTCCTGCTCTTCGACATGTACAGTGGCAACTTCCCGTTGCTGATCATCGCCTTTTTCGAGTGCATCGGTATCGCGTACGTCTATGGTGTCAAAAGGTGAGTGCTTTTAAAGTTCATTGATCATATACTAGCCTCTATTTCTTATTTGTGATTAAAATCCGTAACTCTTAACGTGGATGAAAATTAATAGCCATGGAGCAATATTGATTCGTTACGTAGACACTTTGCCTTTTGCTCTAAAAGTCCTGGATTTGCATCCCGCTATTTATTTATAAGATCAGTACAAAGTTCCCAAGTCATATTTGTTTATATACTAATGTTTGTCTTATAAACATTGGTGCCGAATCTGGATTGATTCTCTAAACTTAAAACTAAATTTAACATCAGTCACTCCTTTTCATTGTGCATAGAGTATGACAAGGATACACTGTTGTCAAATTTAAGTTTAGATTTAGAGAATCACGTCAGAATCGACAACATTATTCAGTTTCCAAATAACAAGCTTTTATTAGTTTAGGAGTAAATAATTGTTGTGAGTGAGTAACGAGAATTTGAGTTTCCGTTGAAGCCAATCAACAGAAAGTCCTGTTGAATGTATTGTTTGATGATGCGCGGTCGGTTTATTTAACTGCATGCGACAACATTAATATAGTTGTTACAAGAAATGTAAATGAACCTAAAACTTACAGTTGGTACATTGCGGTGTGGGTGATATATTGATCCCAGGCCATTAACGGTGAATGTCAACGTGCCATGAAAATGGATGTCCCCTCAATAACTTTTCAGTTACGTAGACTGGCTTTGTTATAATGTAAAATCGATACGGGTTCGTTCTCTGCTGAACTCTCAACTTTCAAACCTGTAAAGGCCAAAACAAAAAAAAGCGAGTGCGTTTCGGGACGCACGACTGAAGTGATAATGTATGCGTGAGAGGAAGGGAAGCCAGACAGTCTGGCGCCGTAACGCGTTATGGAATAAGAAATTATCACTTCAAAAGGTAAAAGCTCGAGTTTGTTGCCTAAGAATTGCTGAGAATTGTTGCGTTTTTTTGCTTTCTTGTTGCTTTTTTACCGAACAAGTAATTGGAACTATCTTATATATATAAAACTCAAAGTGACTGACTGACATAGTGATCTTTCAACGCACAGCCCAAACCACTGGATGGATCGGGCTGAAATTTGGCATGCAGGTAGATGGTATGACGTAGGCATCGGCTAAGAAAGGATTTTGATCAATTCTACCCCGAAGCGAAGCGAGGGCGGGCCACTAGTATATAATATTTTTTGTTAAATATTCTCATATCTGATAATGATAAATACAGATTACATATAGGAATAGAAGGTATAGTGGTACCTACCTAAATATCTTATTAAAGACGTAATTTTTTATTTCATTTAGTTATTCTGCCCGTAAGCCTAAAAGAATAAAAAAAAGTTCCATTCAAATGACCCGGTTCTAATTAGGTCCCCCAGTCGTCCTTCAGAGCGTATTAATTGTGTGTTGGAACAATATACTGTTTGTACATTTACACGGTTGTTTAATGAGGTTACTCGCTTTGGAGAAACGCTGCGAGCTCATTGTAAATCTCACTAGTTAGAATTATTGAGCCACATTACGAAAATAGACTTCCTCTATATTGCGTCTACATTCGTACAGAGCAACCTTTCCCAAAGTGGGCGATTACGCCTTTCGTGGGCGCTGCAGGCCTGAAGGGGGGCAGTAAGAGACCTAGAAAGGAAATGGGGGCGTTGTGTCGAGGCTTGTGGGGCGATATGTAATTTCATCTAATAGAACCTGTGTGCCTCACGTTATGTTTAACCTAAAAACCTTATACCTAGGGCGCGATTCCATTAGCAAGTAAGTCTATGACTTCACCATTGCATACAAGTTGCTTTCATTGTAAATGTTTTCGAAAATGTGCAAATTGCACTTTTGTTTTACTTTGTTTGCAAGGTTCACTTTACAGGATTAATAAATGTCATCATCATTGTCTAATTATCCGCGTTCAGGTCTGCATCGTCAGAATAATGATTTTTTTATTTAATTTTGTCGAGCTACCTTGATAGGTTTAGTATTAAGCTAGGTAGCTCGACAAAATTAAATAAAAAAATCATTATTCTGACGATGCAGACCTGAAAAGGCTGCGAACTGTCAATAAATAAATAAAGTTTCGTGCATTAACCCGTTAAAACTAGTTTTATTTAATGAGTGATGTGCGTGAAAACCTAAGAAACAAATATAAAAACCTTCACTTAATTATTACATAATCAATTCAATAATAGATAAAATAATAACTAAAGGTCAATCCAAGTAAAAAAATGGATAAATCGCAACCAATTTATTATTGGATTGCGATGTTGCTAGTTGGGAATGTTAATGAAACGGCCTTGGTTGACTTTATAACAGGATATGTCGTAATTTAATAAATATTTAAAAAAAAAGTTGGGTTCAACTTCTGAAACCAACAAGATTTGGGTGATATTATAAAAATAAGTAGAAGAGTAACCACGTTGAGACCTACTTCAAGCGAACGACATGATATATTGTTATCTCAGTTACGGAATGATTTTGTTCATGCTCAGGAATACAATATTTTTTAAGCAATAAAGTTATTATTATTTCCTTTATTTCATTAAAATACATACAAAATTATATTACTAAATATAAAATTTTTACAATGTATAACATTAAAAAGAAATTACATTTAAAAATACAAAAATGCAGTTCCCCATCGGCAGCAAGATCAGGGTCCCTGCTACCGGCGGTTAAGGATCCATAGACAGGAACCTCCTCACTATACGGATTATTATTATTACTATTATGGTAAATATATTAATAAAAAATGTTGAAATGTATCAATCACGAATCAGGTGGCACAGGCACGTAAATGCAAAATTCAAAAATTCAAAATTCAATAATGTTTATTCAGTCTAGGCTGTTACAAGCACTTGTGAATGTCGAAAAGCTACGCCATCGGTTCGCAAATCTACGGCGGGAGACCTTGTACTGAGAAAAACCGGCAAGAAACTCAGCAAGGGTTTTATTTCATACAGTGTCGTCCAATTGAAAGTTGACATCAAACTTGCAAACATGTGTTGTGTGTCAACTTCCATCAAAATGTAGAGTCTACAACATACGAGTATGTACAGTTTTACATGCCTGTGCAACTTGATTCGTGAAAATTGACCCACAGCACAAGTTAGCGAGTATGTATACTTTCGTTGTACACACTAATACTACTCGATAATCCATATTTCGTCCATGAGAAAATAACTGAGGTCTGGCACTCTTGGGATCCTTTACTATAATGGAATTATGGATTGTACGTTTCTTTACTCTAGTGATGGAATCGCGGCTTTTCAAAAAAGGAAAATCTAATTATGAGGTTGAAACATATTCTTTATAAACTATGTAGAGTCTGTGCGGAAAGAGAATGGGCGTGGCGAAAAACGGAACTAACATTAAGATTTTTATTTGGCAATCAAACCCAGCAATCTGTAAAACGTCAAAGTTTTGTATTGATACGGATTTGTTTGTTGTTGTGATTTCTTGCGGTTTTTTGTATTTAATCATGTCTAAAGGGTAAAACCTTACAAATACGGTAGAAAAGCACTACAGCGCCCTCCAATCTAAATCCCATTCTCTTTCCGCACAGACTCTAGTAATTTCTCTATCTAAGATTATCCTCATGAAATTTATTGTCTCTTTTGACTCGATAATTTAATGTAAAATACCGGATAGCTAATTGTAAAACTTTTAACTCTTTCTGAGACCCTTTTGTAGCTAAAACGAGTATAATATAATGAAGGGGATCTTTTCGGGATCGGAAGTAGGTAGTAGGTAAAAGTTTAATAACTGGGGCTACAAGGAAAATTTATTAATGGTCTTTAAAAATAGGAAAAAAAATACTGAGTCTAATTTTCCAAAAAAGTAACTCAAACTGTATAAATAATAAGTTTCTCTGGTGGATATTATCTAATGTATAAAATTCTCGTGTCACGGTGTGCGTAATTGAACTGCTCCGAAACGGCTCGACCGATTTTCGTGAAATTTTATATGCATATTTAGTAGGTCTGAGAATCGGACAACATCTATTTTTCATCTCCCAAAATGTTAAGGGTGGTCCACCCTTAAATATTTTTTTGGACCAATTTTTTTGTTTTTATTTTTTTATGATATATCATACAAAAATAAATACAACCATAAATAATTTTCACCCTTCTACCACTCATATTTATATGGCGATACGAAGTTCGCTGGCTCAGCTAGTATTTTATAACGAAATACGTATACACTGGTGTCGATTCTGGCGTGATTCTATAAACCTAAAATTAAAATTAACATCGATCTCTCCTTTTCATTCTGTGTAGAGAATGACAAGGATGAAAAAATTGACAAATTTAATTTTAGGTTTAGAGAATCGCGCCAGAATCGACACCGATATTATTTCTTTCGAGTTAGTATTTCGAAGTAAAATTAAGCTATTTTTCATAATAGTTTAATCAATTAAATCATTCAATACTTACAGCATAATTTTGATAATTTGCATGCATTAAATTGAAATTCTGAGCTTCAATATTTCATGAGGCGGCGCGGCACGGCGTTGATTCCAATAATTCTGCCACGTAAGCTCAGATTTATCAAGCACTTATTGAAAATCTCATAAATTGTATTATCATAAAGGAGGAGGGATTGGAGTTACAAATTATTGAGTCTTTTAGATCAGGCAATTATAATTAAGTGTGTCCGTGATGCTAGCGTACACACGATCAATATACGGTTTTTCGTTATGCCATTAAATACTGCGTAAATAGTGTAAAATTAGTGTAAAAATAAAAAAAATAGTACCTCTTTAATTTAAGAAATAAAGACCATTTTTACTGTGTACGCTACCATGACGTCAAGCTAGCGGCGTACCCATGGCCGACCCCAAGAACGGCATATATTTAAGCAACGAAATTGACACACAAAAATAGTTCGCAAATAGTGCCCTGGCTTTACAAAATTTCATAATCAATACTCTTAAAGTACCAAAGATATTGAACTAAACATTCTTAGCTGGCGTCAACCTGGCGTACCCATAATAGTTCTCATAGAAAATGAACTTTTATCGTTATCAATTCTATATGTATAAATAGTGTGTCAAATAGTGCCTCTAACAGTAAAAGTATTTTATGTGAATTCACAGTAAAACAATATAAAAAAAGCAATTAAATTATTTTTATATATAAAGTACAGTCATGTACAGAAGTGATAATATTTTCGTAGTATAGTAGGTAAGTAAGGTACTTAGTAGGTAGGTTGAAATTCTTATATGAATTTATGATTGGTGAATTCGAATTGAAATAAAATATCTTTTTATAAAAAGTACCTATTTATTTTAGTATAAATACATATATAGATAATTTCTTAGTGCATAAATTAATTTTGTGTGCAACTGTACTAGAATACATTTGTTCCTAGAATTTAAGATTCTTTTTATGTATTGTTGTGATGCGGATTCACATAAAATACTTTTACTGTTAGAGGCACTATTTGACACACTATTTATACATATAGAATTGATAACGATAAAAGTTCATTTTCTATGAGAACTATTATGGGTACGCCAGGTTGACGCCAGCTAAGAATGTTTAGTTCAATATCTTTGGTACTTTAAGAGTATTGATTATGAAATTTTGTAAAGCCAGGGCACTATTTGCGAACTATTTTTGTGTGTCAATTTCGTTGCTTAAATATATGCCGTTCTTAGGGTCGGCCATGGGTACGCTAGCTTGACGTTATGGTAGCGTACACAGTAAAAATGGTCTTTATTTCTTAAATTAAAGAGGCACTATTTTTTTTATTTTTACACTAATTTGGCACTATTTACGCACTATTTAATGGCATAACGAAAAACCGTATATTGATCGTGGGTACGCTAGCATCACGGACACTTAAGTCAGGGGGTAGGCATAGCAATGGAAAAGGGCGAGATCATAAAGCAACACAGAAAGGGGAGTAGTTCCATTTTGCTCCATGTTATGGGTGAGACAAAGAAACCGGGGGCTGTTAAAGTTTTCATATTTATTACGGGGTGTATTCAGAATCGGATTATGTAAGTGTGAAATTTTGGTTTATGATGTCCCGTAATCTGTATTTAAACAACAAATACCTAAAACGCCGAATCATTGTGTACTTTCTAAGTTGTGACGAAGCAAACAAAGAAACGATTTTTCTTTCGTGGTTTGTTGCAATGACTAGCTCGGAAACTAACTATATCACAATCACAAGTGATATTAGGCAGCTTCAATATAGGATAATCATTACGATCAGATGCAATTTTGCCTTCGTTTTTTGCTCGATATTTATATAAAGTCGTAAAACTTGAAAGGCAGCATACTTATAGATAATGATACGGAACCCTTCGTGACCGGATTTTTTAACTCAGAGAAATGCATGACACATATACCGCCACTGGGTAAGGCGCCGGAGTTATGTCTGGGTATTTATCTGGGGTTTGCTTGAGATTTCATGAAAATAACTGAGGCCGCAGTTAACCTAATATTGGTGTCGATTCTGGCATGATTTTATAAACTCAAAACTAAATTTAACATCAGTCTCTCGTTTTCATTCTGTATAAAGAAAGATAAGGATACACTTTGTTAAATTTAAGTTTAGGTTTAGAGAATCATGCCAGAATCGACACCATTATTGATGCGAGCATTCGATGCATAGTAAAGCCCTCTACGCACTATCCACCTTGCTCGATCCAGCATGTGGGACAGCGCTATACGACTTAACTCAGACGTACCCAGTGGCGGGGCAAGACCTAAATTTGATGTGGGCAAGACAGATTTCGCGAGGCCCTGTTCTGTGGCGTCCTGAAGACGGATTTTATAAAAAAAAAGAAAATAAAGAAATTCGCTTTTAAGCAATGCATAAAAATTTTTGAGGCGCGAAGCCCCTTGTACCGTGAGGCCGTAGGCGGTGGCCCACGTCGCCCACGCCTTACGCCGCCTCTGGACGTACCAACTACAACTTTCCAACGCCTGCGTGACTGCTAAACAGCCGTCTGCAGTCGCTAGCCACGAATTTGTATAGAAAGGCAGCGAGTAACTCATACAGACGACTACATTTACCAAATTCTAAATACAGGTGCAATCAACAAACTTTCTTGGATTACCATTATACCAAGGCGTTAATTGTTTAGCTCCGATCACGCGATTGCATACGTTCAAAAGTCAAAATGCCACTTCCAGGTTCGCGGACGACATTGAACTGATGACGGGTACCCGCCCAGGGATCTACTGGCTGATCTGCTGGAAGTACCTATCTCCTCTGGCGATGCTGTCCATCCTTGTGTCCTCGTTCGCTGAGCTAGCGATGGAAGGTTCTGGGTACGACGCGTGGATGCGCTCAGAGGGGGACACGGTGAAGAAACCTTGGCCAATATGGGCCATCATCATGGTCGTGTTTCTGGTTCTGGCATCTGTACTTTGGATACCCGTGGTGGCTATATGCAGGTTAGCGTGACTGTCATTATTTATATGATTTTTCTTCGAGAGTTGAGGTTTTTAAAAAGCTTTCCAATTACTAAGGTTAGTTCAGGATAGCAGGTTTTGGGGCACTTTGACCTTTCTAAAAGTTTTTTTTATTGCCCTCATAGGCAGACGAGTGGGGCGGGCCACCTGATGTTAAGTAGTCATTGTCAACTTCATCCTTCAACTTTACTGTAGAAGAAACATAGATGTTAACACCCAAATGTGGGATGTGGTCCGTACTCTATATTCCAACCATTGGGCAGGCCCGAAGGGTTGTTACAGAATTCTCTCACACCACAGAAATCTTCGATTGTATCACTAACGAAACTTTACACCTGAGCAAGGATGAAAAATTAGAAGGTTTCACACAATTTTTAAATTGAAAAGTATGTTTGACGAGCTGTGAATTATGAATGGCTAAACTTTGTCAATTTGAATTTATTGATTCATTCTACCCGAGGTCATGTTTTCGTGTAAACACTTGCAAAAATTATAAGTTAAATTAATAATTTGTGTGAATGTTTTGATCGAAGAATTAGTTATATTAAATCATACTGGATTGAATGGAATACACGTCTGGGGAAGTAGCTTCCACCTGTCATAAGACCATAGTAAAATAACATAACCTTTTGGTGGTGTTGTGTTCAGAAACACACCTGATCTGATTAGTAAGATTCAGGAGCTTCACGGGGTAGTAACTAATCAACGGGCTACCTCCTAACTACGGACTCTATCGTACCCATAGAGTTCATGGTTCATAAGGATTATTGGAGCGGCTCACTTTTTGCCTCATCAGTCGTCTTCACGACTGGACTAGTCTAAATGCAGTGTTATTTTGAACAAACTCACTTTTCACCTCGGAATCCGCTTGGCGTTATGATGACGAATTTCAAATAAAATTTTAAATCACACCGGCGGATTTCGCCGCCGTGAAAAATGAGTATGTTCTTACAGAATAGCACTGCTGATGCCTAGCTGGAGAACTGCGATATTATACGCATCAAGTTTTTGTTACAATTTTACATTGAATTGTCTAAGTACAATGAAGTTTGCAATAATTACAAAAGCAATAATTGACGATTAAAGTTTCTTGATCCGAATAGGGTATTCGACAAGTTTTAGAAAACGATCTCACGTTATTTACTAATGTTTATAGAGTCCATAAAAAGTGGATATTCATCATTATGTTGTGTATTTCGGTAAAAAAACTAAATCAAAAACTCTATTTTAAAGTTGCCGCGAAAAACAACGTATCTCTGGACAATATGGCGTCTCACTGGTGTGTGACGTCACACGACTGTCATTAAAACGTCAAACTATACAATCTAATGTCACTTTAACCGGAAGTTTACTTGCGTGTGACGTCATTTTAGGCTCCACCAATCCCAAACGTTTTGGGTCACGTGATAAAAGACAAGAAAACTATTATCTTTATCGTGGGTTTTTAGTAAAATTATGAATATTTTTTCTGTAAAAATAGTAAAAACTCCTGCCAATATTCATTCTAAATACAGATGCTAACAATTGGCACTTTATTTTTAATACTGTCTAATACCCTATTTGACTTTCATTTGTTTTATGATCAGGTACTTCAGCCTGCCCATAGTCGACGACGAGGAGCGCGCGTGGTTCCCCGCCGAGGAGCTGCGCGACTTCCACGGCATCGAACCGCGCCCCGTGTCCGCCACAGAGACCTTGCTGTTCTGCACCAGACCAGATGGTAGCGAGCGCTGCTGCTGGCCCGGCTGCTGCGACACCGACGACGATGAGTAGACTTCAGCTATGAGTAGTTCGACTCTTAGACATCTCTAACCAACTTCCAAGAAAACTGATGTTATAGCCATGGACTTAGCTTTCACTTACCAACGTTCACCCGCCTGGTTCTTCTCTGGAGCTCTATTTTTGAATCACTCGTCTGACATAGTATCGTCGAATGCGACATAAGTCACCTTCGACTTTCAAGTCGCATGATACTGATTTTCCGTATTTTTGAATCGTTCGTCACCGTTATTACTAGTTTAATACGAAATATAAAATTTTACTCATTTCACGTACAAAAAATAAAAACTGGTAATTACCACAATGAAATCTGAACGAAAAATTACTACAGTACATGACTGTAGCATACAGTTGTATTTTGTCGTTTATTATGCCGGCACTTTACTTAGCTGTTCGTGATTGCCGTTTGTAAACTTGACATGCATTAGTCGTCATGACTTATTAAAAGAAGAAGAAACTTGACATCAGTCTGCCCTTGTCGTTTTATATAAAGCATGACAAGGATAGATTGTCGTCATCTAATAGCACAAAAAAAATGACAATTATTCTATCATTAGCCTCCATCATTCGCCATGCAACGACTGGTCTCACCCATTCTTTGCACTCGAGCGATTCAAAAATACGGAATTAATTATGTCGAATGAAATTTAGTAGAAATCAAGCGTCCGAAGCAAGGCGAGTGATTCAAAAATAGAACTCCTGGAGAGCTGCGCGACTTCCACGACATCGAACCGCGCCCCGTGTCAGCCACAGAAACTTTGCTGTTTAAACTATCCGCCACTGAGACACTGATGTTCTGCACCACACACGACGGCAGCAAGCGCTGCTGCTGGCCCGACTGCTGCGACACCGACGATGATGAGTAGTCTTCATCTTTCATTATATGTTCAATTCTTGGACATCGGACTGAGCGTTCTATAACCAACTTCCAAGAAAACAGATGTTAGACCTATGGACTGAACTTTCAGTATCTTCATGTAAGGTGGGAATATTCTTATTGACTAATAGCATTTTATTGGAAACATACAAAAGTAGAATAAGACGCTTTATTTCTAAAGAGACTAAGCTAAAAATACCGATTTAATAAAGCTAAACATTATACATCACAGTCACATCCAGATTAGTAACCTGAAACCAAAAATGGGTTTATAGGCTCACTGGCATAAAAAGGTCTCCTAATGTCATATTAAAATCGAATTTTTTGAATTTTCAATTTATAAGTACATATCGCATGGATATCAAAGGATTCAAATCAAATGTATCTTGATCACATATCCTTTTTATTTAGAAGACTTTTGATGTTCTATTTAACGTCGAAAATTAAAATTACATTTTAGAATGTTTTTTTACATTGCCTATAGGTAGGTACTAATATCAACTTCCATTCGAAAAAGTATACATTTTTCTAACAATTTATAAAAATGTTCAATTTAATATTTATTAAATCAGTATATGGAAATTATTAGAATATTTACCCCTGTTAAAGTTAGATTTTCAAAGTAATTTTTAAAATTAAAATACTTACCTGATGCTTTTAGTATTTTTCATACTATTTTACGAATTAATTCTTATATACCTTGGTTAATAATATAATTATTTGCTTTTTGATTTTATATTAATTACTGTCACTATGAAATAAATATGTAATGGTGTTGATGCTGGCATAATTCTGTAAAACTAATCTTAAATTTGACAACAGTGTATCCTTGTCATTCTCTTAATAGAATGAAAAGGAGAGACTTATGATAAATTTAGTTTTAAATTTAGAGAATCATGCCTGAGTCGACACCACAATTTTAAGTTATTCAAACAATTAACATGTTATTTTTGACTAATACTGAATACTAACTTATGAATAATATGGCAGCTATAAACTGTCCATTAATATTATTAAATGTCATAAGTCCCAGAGACGATCAAGTCTACTTGACGTCAAATCAACGCGGTTAATAATGAATATTCCCTTCCCTAAAGTAGACTTGACAAGTCGATTTGATCATCTCCAGGACGTTTAATTATTGTACGTCATTGTAGAATTAGTTACAAGTTATCTAATATTCTTACGACAATAAACATTTACACTTTGTTATATTATTGCTCGCGCACAATTAATTTAAACATGTTTTGGTTTACGATAAACGATGGATGGAAATTGCAAAGAGAGGTAGGGAAAAGTGGATATTTTGCTTAGATTGGTGTAATATTACACCTACTATGGGGAAGTTATCGTTTACCTTTAGTGATATATTTTTTATAATTTGATGTTGGATTATGAGATAATCACGAAAGGTGTGTTTGTAATGTTTTGTGGTTTTTGATATCGTTTGTGTATAATGAAAAGAAAAGTGGCCTCAATATAGTTCCTTGTAGCACTCTGTTTCCGATGTAAAAAATTTACGCTGTCGGCGTTGATTTACATTTGATACTATCATACTTTCCATTAGACAGGCTACTTTTTATCCAATTGAAAGATATTTAGTCCTCTCAGACAACATAATTTCATGTGAGATAAGATCAAACGCCCTGCTCATGTTAAAGAAAACTACAGTGAAACGTATGAATCTATCGAAGTGCCTACACAAGTACACGCATTGAGCGTCGAGAAAACAATAATGGAATTATAGTAAAGAAACTTTGAAATAATGTACCTACCTATGTAGATAAGAAAATAATTTATTTCTTTTTCTTTTTATAGCTGTTTAGTACTTACTTATTATATAAAGTTTTTTTTTCGTTTAGCCTTATATCTCTTAGCGATATACTTACAACTTTGTTAATTGTACGCGAGTTAAATATTTACATTAATCGCACGTAGTGCATACGTTTTTAAAATTAATTAATAATAATATTTAGAAGTAGAAGAGAAACCGCCAAAAATCATTGACAATAAACATTAATGAATCAAAACGTGACAATAACACACATTTTGAAATGGTAATTTTTAAAAGTTTATACTTATCGTATTGGATTTACCTATATTACAATCATATTGGAAATAATATTTATTTTTATTGTTGTTATCGATTATACTTATAAACATAATTAAAAAAATTTAACTACTTTTAAATTTGTTTTTTACTAGCATTACAATGTATCAGAAAATAATAAATGTTGACAATGAAAAAAAGACATGTAAAAACCATGTACTTAATAATAAATGTACTAATGTCTTTATTTATTTCGATTTAGTATGTAAGTACTTACTGTAAAATATATGATAAAATTTAGTGTGTATTTACAAATTCGATGTGATAATGTTTAAACCGTTGTTATCTTTTTTGAAATAATATTATTAGACTAGGACTCGCATATCTAACCGAACTGTATAAAAGTATAATTTTATAGCTTTTATCGACTTGTTATAATAATAGGACTTCGGTATAATAATAATAATACTATTATGATATTTATTCTTAAGGAGTTAAGTCCATTTAGAGAAACTATGTTTGTCCAAAGGTAACGTGTACACGTAATAATTATCTAGAAATTGTGAATTATACAATAACCTAAAGTTGTAGTCGCATTTATAAATAAACTTTACCTATAATTTTAGTAAGATGTTGCTCGGTTAACTTTTCTTTTATTGTTACCCAGTTTAGTTAAATAAGTTTATGTATTAGATAAATATTTATCTAATTACATTTAAAATATTACAAAGTGATTTCAGTTTAATAAGTTACATATTAATAGAGTGTTAAAAGGGTGCAGTTAAAAATTATTTGACTGAATTAACCTCTGTTTTCAGGCAATTCCAGAATTGTTAAAAAAATATGTAAAGGAGATGGTTATTGTCAGTAATTATCTATTACTTGAAGTAATAGCCAAGTAAGCTGACTTCTTAATTTATTTTGCGAATAAAACAATGATTCCGAAGGTAGCACATCGAAGATTCGTATGAAATACGGATTGTTAATTAATAGTGATTCGTCTCTCTGTTGTAACGATATGTATTTACAGTTTCTGTCTATGTATGGTGCAGTCGAAAAATTGTTGAATATTACTTTTAGGCGACTTTTTGTAGGAAGGTGCTTACTCGAAAGGAGAAGCCTTTTAGAATCGAGTAAGTAATTGCTTAAAAGTAGGATAAATTAAACTTTTCTGACTGTTCCCATTCTGTCACATCATCGATAGCCGTCTCTACATTATCCATATAAATGCTTCGAATCGATTTATGTCAATTAACTTTTATACTGTTGATCGCTTTTTAAATACTTATCTAAGCACGTAATGTAAATGTGGAAATCATAACTTATAATTATGGAAGTCATCTTATGCGCGTCGCAAACCTGATTTATTATAACGAAGGTTGCGGCACCTAACTGTAGCGCTGAACAAAACGCGGAGGGGATAGCGCATGGGTACGACTGGAGAGCCAATCGCCGCAACGCACGCCCGCCCGCGCACCTCGTTTCCCCCCAACACATCTTAATTTTTACTTCTGCGCAATAACATAACGGTCAGCGCTAGAGTTTCGTGCCGCGACTTATATCTATCTCAATAAATCAAAAACTATGATTAATAAGTATACAAATATTCAAGTGAAGGCAATACATCTTATTCATCTCGTATAATCAATATTGACTCAATATACGAGCACAAAATTGACATATTTTATGCAATGAGTTCGGATAATTAATTATAACATAATTAATGTTACATATAATAATCATATTGGAGAAAATTTACAGTTACATTACGCGCGGCTCACGACAGTCGTCGGCCGCGCGCGTCTGTCGCCGGCCTCGGAAGAGGTGCCATACATTTTCATACTATGACTGTTGTCGCGAGCGACCGACGACAGTCGTAGGTCGCGCGCGGCCGCGATCGATCGCGATGCACAGAATAGTCCCTTTATGCACCGCCTAATGTCAGGTTATTTAGGAAAATAAGTTTCACTACAGATGTGTGAGCAGTGAACACTATTTTTTTTTCCTAAAGTTAATCAAATACATATATCTTCAGCAACGAAGTTCCAGTAAACATTTCGCATATCGTGGATAGATTGTTGGCAACGACCATGCCTTTCCGTTGTATTCTACCAGGGTAGGTACATGATCTTGCTTAATGTTAAGTTCATTGATGTTGACTATTTCTTATGAACCCACTGGATTACTGGCTTTATTTCAAAAGTTTGTAAAGTTTAACTTCGCTAAAGTGAATTGACGTTTCAACCTAAATCTGCGTTCGGTTTTTGAGTCAGATCAGTCTTTTTAGTCTGTATCGTTCATTTATTACATCTAGAGCAAATCTGAAACATTCGGTAATTCCGCTCAGCTCAGTCCGATGCAAATCTGTTTGCTCGGAGTATTTGAAAAGAGACCGACGAGAAAGATAATCTGGTATCTGTCATGATGTCAGGTTTGTTTCTGTTTGAGGTTAGGAATTAATCTACGTTTGCTCAGGCCGTTCTGTAAAAGCAATTTGCTGAGAATAATCTGTGATCACGTGACTAAAATCCGCCGCCTCTGCGATGCAAATACCGAACGCAGGTGCTTGGAATAGGAACAAAAAGTTGTGATTTTGTAAATTACGCTATCCATAGTAGGCATTTGTTTGAAAACATAGTTGAATTTAATGTGTTGTTCTTCTGAATTGCTGTCGACATATTGCTGACAATACTGTCCTTCCCTGTTACAGAATTAATAACCAATATATTCTACATCAA